TGACTAAAATGGCACTTGTTTTTATTCCTTACGAGAAGCTTATCAGGACTACTTTCAAGCCAAAGAAAGAAAAAAAAAATTATTTACTAAGTTTTCCTACTCGATCTGAATACTTCGCCTTGGGATTTTAAGGGTTGATTAAACAAATTAAAAACGATTCCACTACGAATGATGAAGTCTCCAAAGAACAATTATTAACGAGTTAAAATATAACACGAAATAATATTATCAATAGTCGCTTGAAGCCAAACAGAGCGAAAATTAGTTGGTTGTAGATTATACTTTAAGTGAGGACACTTTTTGTAATGTTCTAAAAGAAGACTCGACAATGGGGTCGGTCCTGATCTGGCATCTCGACCTCAGATGCATTCTCACCATCGTAAAATAAATTTCTTGTGACTTTTATGTAGATATTTTCATGGTAATTGCACTGAAGCACCCCGATTTCGCGAATTTAAGCGCAGTAAAAGGTACAGTACATCTAAATTAAAAACTGGAGATACTGAAATCGAGCAGATGCAGCAATTTAGTTTCCTGTGTAGCGTATTAACAGAGGATAAAAAAGAGCAACACTGAAATTCGAAGGTGCTTTAGGATAGAGAATTATGCCTTCCAAAAGCTAGGCAAAGTATTATGAAACAGGAAAATTTCATTAGAAACAAAGAAACGAGTACTCACTTGTTATGTAATATCAATCCTCCTATAGTGTAGTGAATGCTGGACAATCGCTAAATCGCGAAAGATGCGTACCAAAAGCAGAGCAAAGTATTCTTTCTTCTGTTAAATGCCGTGTCCCTTCAGGACGTAGGCGATCATGGCCTCCACATCTCCCTCTTGTTATTTTGGAGGTATCGAAATCGTGCAGCAATTTAGATATATGGGAAGCGTATTGGCAGAAGATGGAAAGAGGGACACTGGAATTCGAAGGTTCATTGGGAAAGATGCTTTCCAAAAGCTGAGCAAAGTATTAAAAAACAGAAAAATATCATTAGAAACAAAGAAAAGTGTACTGAGCTGTTATGTAATATCAGTCTTTCTATATGGCAGTGAATGCTGGATAATCTCCTCACAGATGAAATAATGTATTTTTGAAAAAAATCATTTCACCCCAAAGAAAGGCAATAAACCCCCTAAGACGCAAGAAATTACTGAGTGTTAGAAAATATGAGAAAATATATGAAAGAGAGCGGACAATAAAGTAATAAGAATTAAGAAGATAGAGGGTAACGATTGACACCGCATTTCGATTTTTGAAGCAGGAATTGAGTTCCACAAGTTAGAAGAAACTGCTAGCATAGAACGGTTACATCTATCGATTTCAACTGTAAAATATTGAGACCTAGCTGCCAATCTAGTACTGAGCTTAAATTCATAAAACCTAGCTACCATAAAGGAAAGCTCATCAAAACTATTACCACAACATATTTATAGAAAAGGCACAGGGAATCTTCTCTACGGTGGTGGTAAAGTGACTGAAGCCGAGATGCCAGGTCAGCACCAATAACATTGCAGGTTCCTCTTTGTATTTTATTAAGAATCTCTAAATATATAGCAGGAGCACCTGACCAGATGTGTCAGCAATATTTAAAGCAAGGACGAATGGTAAACTTATAAATATGTAATATATATTCTGGCGTGAAAGATTGTCTATCATGGGACGGTGAACCAACTTTCCTAGCTGAAAACTTAGCAAATGATTAAATATCATTTCAACTTTATCTCAGCGGAAAGCAATTGTTCTGAAGAGCTTTTTTATGTTATCACCCCGAGAAGGCGCAATGAGTCACTCTCTGGGAGGTTAGCATCAGCCATGCTGATGGAATGCAAAGATGATTTTTACAGACGATTAAAAGAGAGAGGTTTCGTTTTGGAGGCTTTAAAATTAACAGGCTGTTCCTTGCTTTATTTAACAACAGATTGTAAGTAATTTTGGAGATCAGCTCGCCAATTTGACCTTAACGAATCGATCAGACTTACTATTAAGACAAGATTAAATAGTTGTGTCATCAGCACAGATACCAAGTTCAGAATTGAGGTAATCAGAAAGGTCATTTATTGAAATTAGGAAAAACATAGGGTCAATGATAGAGTCCTGGGAACACCTGCAGATCTAGAAGAGTGGCCATTCAAGACAACTTTCATTACAGATGGGAGGTAAAAAGGGTTCTCTCAGATGATTAAAAGAGATTACTTTCGTTTTCGAGACGTTAAAACTAAAAAGCCACTTCTGGACCTATTTAACAACAGACTGTAGCTTATTTCCGAGATCAGCTGCCAATGTGATCTTATCGAACCAACCAGATTACTATTAAGACAGAAAAAAATGATGTCCTGAGCCTAGATAATGCACTGAGAGTTGATGAGATCAGGAAAGTAATTTCTGAAAATTAGGACAACATAGGTCCAAGGACAGAGCTCTTGGGACCACCTGCATTAATGCAAAATGATCTAGAAGAGTGGCCATTCAAGATAACTTTCATTTCGCGTTTTGATAAGAAAGACTGAATCATTTCAAAAACGTCCTTCAGTAATATCACAACCTTTCAATTTCTGAAGAAGACCAGTATGTCAAACCCTATCAAATGCCTTCGAGATAAGAAAGCAACAGCCCGAGCTTCACTATTCTTATCTAAAGTTTGATTCTTTTAGAAATAATCGTTAACACATCAGCAGTTGACCTAGAGAAGGGAAACCATATTGCCTATCTGAAAGAAGACCCTGCCACGTGAGATGCATAACCAATTCAGTGTTAATTAGAACATGTAGTACTTTGCCAAAAAGTGGGAGAAGGCTAATATGCTGATAGTTAAAAGGATCAATCGGTTCCAAACAATGATGAAATAAAAATAAATAAAACATGGGTATACCTGCTAAATAAATCATTTGTATTTAAAAAAACCTATGTACACGAATTCAAAATAGCCAAATGGGAATAAAAATGGTCTTTAGTTTAGTCTTTAGGTAGTTTGTTTACAGAAAATGATGTGGTTCAGAAAAGACTTTTATCGTTAGCGATTCACTGGCCGTATTTGTTATTGGATATGGTTTGTTTTAAGTCACTAAATGACCAGTCATACTCTTGTTCCAGTTGAGTCGTTTGAAGTCGCCGACTGGCCGGCCATACTGTTGTTGTTGCAGCTGATTCGTTTGAAGTCGCCGACTGGCCGGCCATACTGTTGTTGTTGCAGCTGATTCGTTTGAAGTCGCCGACTGGCCGGTCATGCTGTTTTTGTTGTAGCTGATTCGTTTGAAGTCGTTGACTGGCGGGCCAAGCTGTTGTTGTAGAGGATTCGTTTGAAGTAACCGACACATGTTTCTTTCAGTACAAGCCACGTTTTTTCTTGAGTCCCAAAAGCCCAGACGGCGACAACTGCATCTCTACTCTTTGAAAGTTGAAATCTGTGTTTTTATAGGACACTAGCAGCATGGTCCGGCGTTGCCCGTGCTCGGTTAAAAAATCGTACGACTCGTACAGCAATTGCTATCACTTGACTTAAAATATTTTTGCCCTTCCTTGCCTTTAAAGGAGTGCTCTTTGCCGTGTTGATGTTGCTACATGCCTTACTTCTTGTCTATCTCACATTGCGATTTTTTTCTAAGCTCTATACTAAACATTAAATCTGTTACGAAAAAAGAACTAAACAAAATGAACACAAAACGATCAGCTTTAAAAAAAGGACTCGTAATTGGAAAAAACGAGTGAAAAAACAATGTTACCAACAAATACTTTATCACACCCAACCCAGTTCTACTGAATCAGAATCAACGTTGAGTTTAAGCAAGCGAATGAGCCAATTGGAGTAAAGTGCCATGAAGATTTAATTTTTTCCCACTTGTGACGAATGCAGCTACCGTTTTTTTGCATGCTAGCATGCTAGTTAACATTTGTTTTAGTCAGCTGTTGGCTCTCACGCTGGCCAGTAGAATCTTCCTGCCTATTCGTGGCAGCCAGCTATAGGCTCTCACTCTGGCCAGTAGAAAATGGCCGCAAACTACATGAAAAGTGCCGTAGAAGCATGAAAAATCGATTATTTCCACTATCGATGGGAATTTGGAAATGCAAAGTCGGTCTTGGCCTTCCCGCTAACTTGGAGCATGTGCATGTAAATTTTGGTGCAAATCCGTCAAAAATTGCGACGGTGTATTCGTTATAGACACACAAACACACACACAAACACACATCCTGCCTTTTATAAATATAGCTTGAGAAAAACAGGGTGTTTGGTTTCTCTGATTGTTCAATTATTTCACATAGTGATGTTAATTTCTAACCAATAGACAGTTTCATTTAAACGGTGTGTGTTGTATTGTGTACTCTTTTTGGCATGTTTGTAAATATTTGTTGTATCGTCCAGGTGAATGATACACAGAGAAAAATGACTGCTTAATATATTTATTCAGCACCAGTATCCGGTGCTAACGGATACATAAAAAAACAAAAAAACAACAACAACAAAAAAACAAACAAAAACAAAACAAAACAAAAAAACAGAACAGTCAGAAACAAAACAATTAACAAGACAACTTACAAGGAATAGAAAAGGGTCAAATGCGAAGCAAGATCAGTCCGAATATTAATCAGCTTAGTATCAACATATTAGTCAACTGTTGAAGTTCTTAAACGTTGATTATTTAAGTGTATGAGCCAGTCTATCTGGTAGAGTGCTGAAAGGGTGCTGGCTACTCTACAACAATATTGTTTGTTATTAGGGAGAAAATAAAATTTGAACATGTTTTAATATGGTATGTATGTGGGTATGTAATTGTGTTGGAAATAGTGTTTACTATGATCACTCAGTGAATTAGTCTGGCAACTGCTTCGAATTCCAAACGTTTGCTTGTAAATTTGTCCCGATTAAAAGCAGTGTTGAATCATCAGTTGCAGAAAAATCGGCGGTGCACATGCAATTAATCAATTAGTAAGGCTTAGAAAAATGCACACGACAGGTCACACGGAATAAGCAAGTAATAAGGGTTAAAGGTTATATCAGAAACAAACAATGGAAGCCATATTACGACAAAACTCCTTAGTGTCTTCTTCCGTTGTGAGTCAGCATAACAAACAGGAAGCTATCGATCGTTTTCGTATCATCCTACGGAATCATGGTGTTGCTAAGAAACTGGGCATTAAAGATTTGGATATTGTTTACGTTTTCTTTTCTGCTTCGGTTTTCCGTGTTTTATTTACAATCGGCAATGCATTTATGTGCACGAGATTTTAGCAAACTGCTTCCTCTTTATCCCTATCTCTCTTCCCATTTTCTCCACATAATGAATAGTCATATCAATATTCACTGGCTCAATCAGTCATTTACTAGCTGTCCGCATTTCTGAGCGTTTATTTATAGATAAGTCAATAGATATCATGGATGGCTAGCTCTTCCACTCATTTCATTCTTTAGCTGAGCCTTTTCGTCATTCTCCATCCCTCTCCCTCTCCCCTAAGTATTTTCGCATCTATCTATCTATCTATCTATCTATCTATCTATCTCAGTCTCTTTTTATCTATCTATCTATCTCTGCCTGTTACTATCTCACTTTTTCGTATCTATGTACATATCCCACTCTTTTCGTATCTATCTACATATCCCACTCTTTTCGTATCTATCTATCTATCTATCTATCTATCTATCTATCTATCTATCTCAGTCTGTTACTATCTATCTCACATTTTCGTATCTATCTATATATCCCACTCTTTTCGTATCTATCTATCTATCTATCTATCTATCTATCTCTACAGAACACGAGATTAAAAAAAACCCCAAAAAACAAAAAACAAAACAGTATATTACACTCAGCTTCAAGGGACCATGCCTGCAGGCAGCATATCTCTCGGTGCACTTGAAGGGTTGGGTCACGGTCAATCCCTGATGCTTGAGGCATTCTAAAATACAATTGCCGGCGGAGATTGAGAATTGTTTGTTACTAATCCCATGTACGCGTAGGATACCGGCAATAAAAACGCCCTTCTGTTATATTCCGTTCCACTGGGTAGGCGGACGCATATATACACTTGGTGCCAGCGGGCCAAGTAGCGAGTGGTGACTGTGATGGCAACCTACCCATTACTGCTGGAAGATGGTAAAAGTTTCTCTGTTCGTTGAGAAAAATCTAAACCTGCGTTCCTGTTTAAATAACGTTTTTTTAGGATAAAATTTTAGTCGTTACTGAATTTATTTTCATTATCAATGTTTTTATCTGTATTTTATTCCACATTGTATGTTTAGAAAAGAAAGATATTTTAGGAATTGGTAATTTTTGGTACACCAAAATGCATCAATTGTGTAAATTTAAAGACCACGTATCTACTGAAAATATCCTATTTTCATTGTGGTTGTCCCTCCCTACGTTAGTTCGCACGACCGTTACGCTCTGTCAATACTTCATAAACAATGATTTGATCGCATGGAAAGAGGGGAAAATACATTACTTGTTTCAGTGAGAAAATGAAAGAATGAAAGATGGGAAGGCAAAAATGGAGAGAGAGAAAAACAGATTAAGCTGATAAGATCAGATACTACACTTTGATCTTAGACTAAAGTCTGGAAAACGATTGCATTTTCTTGCTGCAAAACCGCCACCCACGTTGGCAGGATGTTATACAAGATCAGTATAATAATATCGGAAGGCCAAAGGTTAAAAAATAGTCCAGCAGAAGTGTTGAATTTTAATTTTCTGATGAATCTTAATTCTTACGTTAATCTTTGACTGAGTATATATATATATATATATATATATATATATATATATATATATATATATATATATACACCGCTTTTCAATTACAAATTGAGCCCTCTTGGCCACTGGCGTTTATACACGCTTCATGTATAATACGTTAAAATTTCCCTTTATCCGCTGTGCGATAGCTTAGGGGATAAGACTTTTGACTGATGCCAGATCGGTCGAATTTCGATGTCTGGCTACACTGACAATCTGTGATACAGCGAAACAAGCTTGTATGTGGATAACTATATATATATATATATATATATATATATATATATATATATATATCGATTCTAGTTGAATCCATTACATTAACTTACGTGCTAATACCCTTGTGAAAGATATGAATCCTCTTCTTCTCCCTCCACCTATGGGTAAATAGCAGGACAGACTGGGTTCTATAGCCTTGGATGGCAACTGGCCTAGGAGAAGGACAACTCTGATTTCAAAACATGCGAGAGTCGTTTGGGGAATTTGTGGCACGTAGTGCTCCAAGTCTCTGTATTCGGTCCTTCAAAAAGTGTGGTTGGTTCTGCCCAAAGTGGTGGACACTCTAATCAAATCATATGTACTGGTGTCTGGCTGTCATTTCCTAGGAACTGAACTACCTGATCCTCATATCGAAATTGTGAATAAACTGCCCAAAGTTCACAATTTATTATTGTTTTGTTCCAGTACATTAGATCATCGCGGTCATTATCAAGAGTCAATGTATTTTGTGTGTTAGAATTCTTTTATCTATATCCTGGTATTCTTTGAAAAGTTTGAAATCGTATAACGTACGACATGTGTAACGGCTACTGGGAACGAGGTCGCACAAAATGAATGCGATTTATTTTATTTTTATTATCTTATTTGTATTGTTTTTTAGACTAATATAATATATGTACACATTAAATACATCATATGCACTTCAAGATACACTCTCCTCTGGTGATGATATTTTATTTAATGTGGGCAGTTTATTTTGTATAATAATAGCTTCTAGGATTTTGAGTCTTTCCATGAATTGGCCACTGTAAAGTATTTTGGTGTATTTCGATTGTATAAATTTCTGGGACACCTAATGAGAAAGGAGGGCTTGGAAAATTTGATACTCACAGGACGGATATAGGTGAAGAGAAAAGCAACGCGTGACGTTCTTAATGGGCTTCAGCAAGTGGATGGCGGGACAGGGTCTGGGAGAAATAACAAAAAGACAAAACTTATTGAGAGTTACAAGAGACAGGACAAGGTGGAGGGCCATGAACGCCTATGTCCTGAAGGGACATGGCACATAAAAGAAGAGGATATATTTATTTATATTGTTTAACTGAGTTGGAATTGGTTCCAGCAGGCTAAGAAAGTCTGGAATTGGCTAAACATGCAATTCTAATAACAGGCAAAACTATAACACACAATATTCTTAATTAGTATTCGGAAGGTTACTGAATAGAATAATCACACGAAGGTTGGTAATGAACGATAATACTTAGGACACGAACAACGCATATAAGATTCGCCAGCGGCGCGTAGAAGTAGTAGTCAACTACTAGAAGTGAGTCAAGTGAATTCCACAATGAATCTCCAACTGCAGGATATCTACCAACCGCCCCACAAGGTTAGATGTGGCACAAGGCCGAATTTAATATGGGGTGTCTAAGCCTGTATGCCCGGGCAAAAATTCCCCGTAGACCCCGTCCTTCGACATAGTCTCGTCTGGGAATCCTCTCTGTTCGGAGGTAGATAGTTTGACCAGAAGATCTGGAGACGAATCTCCAACTGCAGGATATCTACCAACCGCCCCATGCGGTCAGATGTGGCACAAGGTCGAATTTAATGTAGGGTATCCGAGCCCGTATGATCGACCAAAAATTCCCCGTAGATCCCGTATTAAACGGGGTTGGGTAGTAGTCTCCTGAGAAGAGACCCAGCCCTTCAGCAGAGCCTGATCTGGGGATCTTCTTATCATCAGCAATAAATCAGGACAAAAATTTCTTGCATTAATCGTTAAGCATTTTCCTAAAGATAGTAAACTCAGTACTATTTCCAATAAAAATACACTAAAATTAAGTTACAGCTGTACTGAAAAATTAGAAAAAATATTAAGAAACATAATGCTAATATCTTCAATAAACACTTAGATCAAAACGAAAGAAATTTAGACACTAAAAAATAAAAAGAGATGGAGATAAACAAAAATTATGAAACTGTGGAAATCCTCATAACTATATACAAAATTTATATACAAAATAAATATCGCACGGAATCATTAGTATACCAATGCAATATCTCATCTATTGAGAATTCCGAAAACATAAAAGTCTATATGCGTTGCACAAGCCATGAATTCAAGAAGAGATTCAACCAACATCAAACTTCATTTAGGATAAATATATACCGCAATCAGACGTCCCTATCGAAATATTTCTGGCACTTAAAAGAAACCAATAAAACACCTACAGTAAAATGGAAATTAATAAGAAAAGCTAGAATATGTAGGTCATTAAATGACACATGTCCTTTCCATGAGAAACTATATATTACTAAGTTTATAAAAAATAAAAATTTACTGAATCAAAGAAATGAAATAGCTATTCTTTGCCGACATTGTCAAAAATTTTCCTTAAATAATATTTAAAAATAAAATAAAACAATTAAAAAATTTAAAAAAATGGAAGATGGTAATATACATACTTATATTTGATATGTAATAATAATTTTTAAATAATTTAAGTAATTCTATTATATTTATTTGTTTTAAAAAGAAATATAGTCTATTAGTAATTAAGGGTAAAAATCATATTTTGAAATTGTAGTTCAATATAACGTATTCTAACCCAAACACCACTTTTAGAAAGAATCTTTATGTATACAAGTACGAATTTAACAGAAAAAATACCGAAGACCTTTTTCTCGTTGCTAAAAAAAACAGACGACATGCGTTTAATGGATGTCAAAATTCGTTGAAAAATACACCCCTACCCTACCCAGACTTAACTTCTTTTTCGAATGTAACTTATAATTGATAAAATAATAGTTAATAAAAAATGAACAAGCTACCACTCCTGTCTAAATGATTGGATTTCTCTGTATCTTTAGAAACAAAAAATTATAAATTGTATGTGCGTTTAAAAGTCAGCAAAGTTAAAAAACAAAAAAATAAATAAAAATAAGTTATTCCAAAAATTCGCTTGAAGATGAAACAGAAAAAAACGCTTTTAATTTAATTATATAATTAAATTTGAAGTTTTCAGCTTCGGTTTTTGAAACATGGTAATTCCTGTGTAGCGAAGAAACCATATTTTAAATCAGTTAATTTATAATATTTATGCTCTGTAAATTGACATTGAGCACTGTTTTGTAAAAATAAAAAAAAATAGAAATATCAATAAGAACACCGGATTATATATCTTACTGTTCTTTCTTTTTTAATAATAATAATAATAATAATAATATATATATATATATATATATATATATATATAAATGTATATACAGATAGATATGAATAGACTGAGATAGATAAAAACTGAATGTGTATATATATATATATATATATATATATATATTTATATATATATATTATTTTATATTCGCAGTACTTAGTGGAAAGTGCTAATTATCAGTCATAGAGCTAACATATTCAGTTGTAGAGAGAAAAGTTTGTGACCTTGGGTTCCACGCTTTTGCTATCATCAGACAAACAGGTTTATTTTTTAAAATTGGATCTATTTGTGATTGTTTGACTATGTTTGATGGTAGGAGGAGGAATCTACTTCTGTTTTTGTTTGGGGTGCCGCTCTCATACGCATAGACACACATACATACAGGTGTACGCATTTTTGCCCACACAAACACATCCATATAAACAATCCGAGGCCAGACGCAGATACACATCCATGCGTTCGAGCATACATACATACGCAGTTGTAATTCTGTTTTGGTGTCGAGACCTTAGCTTTTATATATGTAGCGATGTTCCTTTAAACAATGAGCAGGTACAGGTGTTCTTGATGCTTTTCAGATCTACCACCTGCATCGT